GCAGGCAGAAAATCCGTAACTTTGTAACACCCTCTATAATTGGACATAATTTAAACCCATAGACTATTTCTTTCTTTCTTTCTTTCTTTTTTTTTTTGAGATGGAGTTTGGCTCTTGTTGCCCAGGCTGGAGTGCAAAGGTGCAATCCCGTCTCACTGCAACCTCCACCTCCTGGGGTCAAGCGATTCTCCTGCCTCAGCCTCCTGAGTAGCTGGGATTATAGGCATGCACCACCACACCCGGACAATTTTGTATTTTTAGTAGAGACAGGGTTACTCCATGTTGGTCAGGCTGGTCTCTCAAACTCCCGACCTCAGGTGATCTGGCCACCTCAGCCTCCGAAAGTACTAGGATTACAGGCATGAGCCATTGCGCCCGGTGAAACCCAAAGACTATTTCATACAATGACAGCAGAAAAAAAAGAAAAAGACTTCAGTTTTTCCTGTATCTTAGCCTGGAGAGCAGTGTCACAATCACAGTTCACTGTAGCCTTGAACTCCTGGGCCCAGGCAATCTTCCTGCCTCAGCATCCTGACTAGTTGGGACTACAGATGTGTACTACCATACCTGGCCAGTTTTCTTTCTTTTTACTTTTTTTCATCATGTAGTGAAAATGTCATAATTTTTTAAAATGTAATTTTTGGTAGAGATGGGATCTTGCTATGTTGCCCAGGCTAGTCTTGAACTCCTGGCCTCAAGCAATCCTCCTACCTTGGCCTCGCAAATTTCTAGGATTACAAGTGTGATCCTGAGTCACCATGCCCAGCCACAAACAAAATATTTTTTAAAGTATCTGTAGGCTGGGCATGATGGCTCATGCCTGTAATCCCAGAACTTTGGGAAGCTGGGACAGGTAGATCCCTTGCGGTCAGCAGTTCGAGACCATCATGGCCAACACAGTGAAATCCCATCTCTACTAAAAATACAAAAATTAGCTGGGCATGGTGGCAGGCGCCTGTAATAGCAGCTACTGGGAGGTGGAGGTGGCAGTGAGCCAAGATCACGTCACTGCACTCCAGACTGGGCTACAGAGCTAGAGTCCCAAAATAAAAATAAATAAATAAATAAGTATCTGTGTCCACTGATAAGATTCTAGTCAATTGTAAATGAAAAATTAGGCCAGATGTGGTGACTCACGCCTGTAATCCAAGCACTTTGGGAGGCCCAGGAGGCAGAACAATTGAGGTCAGGAGTTTGAGTTTAGCCAGGCCAACACAGTGAAACCCTGTCTCTACTAAAAACACACAAAAAAATTAGCCAGGTGTTGTGGTGCATGTGTGTAACCCCAGCTACTCAGGAGGCTGAGGCAGGAGAATTGCTCGAACCCAGGAAGCTGAAGTTGTGGTGACTGGAGATCTCCCCACTGTGCTCCAGTCTGGGCAACAGAGTTAGACTCCATCTAAAAAAAAAAAAAAAAAAAAAAATGAAGCTTTCAGAGTGCTGGAGAAGAGATGGGAAATGAATATTTCCCTAAATTGCTGCTGTGAGTGTGAATTGTTACAATGCTTGCAGAAAGCAATATGGCAATATGTATTAAAAGTTTGTCCCAGAGCAGGCTGACCTCCGTGGCTCATGTCTGTAATCTCAACACTTTGGGAGGCCAAGGCAGGCAGATCAGGAGGTAAAAAGATCAAGACCATCCTGTTCAACATGGTGAAACCCCATCTCTACTAAAAATACAAAAATTAGCTGGGTGTGGTGGTGCACGCCTGTAGTCTCAGCTACTTGGGAGGATGAGGCACAAGAATTACTTGAACCTGGGAGGCAGAGGATGCAATGAGCCGAGATTATACCACTGCACTCCAGCCTGGGTGACAGAGTGAGACTATGTTTCAAAAAAAAAAGCAAAATTTCAACAAATTTAATTTAAAGATCTAATCTATTAGTGATTCATGAATCAGGCAGCTGCTCATGTATGCAACAGAAAAGGTGCTCCCATGGGCTGAGCAGAGGAGGTGGGCTTTAGAGGCAGAAAAAAGCAGATGAAGAAGAAACGGGATGGGGGAGTGAATTGGTTGTTTCAAAGTCACTTTCAGGCTGGATGCAGTGGCTCATGCCTGTAATCCCAGCACTTTGGGAGGCTGAGGCGGGTGGATCACCTGAGGTGAGGAGTTCCAGGCCAGCCTGGCCAACATGGCGAAACCTTGTGTCTATTAAAAATACAAAAATTATCTGGGTGCAGTGGAGGGCACCTGTAATCCCAGCTACTTGGGATTACAGGAGAATCCTGAGCACCTGTAATCCCAGCTACTTGGGATTGAGGCAGGAGAATCGTTTGAACCTGTGAGGCAGAGGTTGCCATGAGCTGAGGTCCTATCATGGCACTCCAGCCTGGGCAACAGAGCAAGACTCTATCTCAAAAAAAAAAAGAAAAAAAAAAAAGAGGTAGGCCCAGTAATCCCACTTTGGATGTTAAAAAAACTCATGGGCTGGGTGCTTTGGCTCATGCTTGTAATCCCACCACTTTAAGAGGCCAAAGTGAGCCAATCATGTGAGCTCAAGAGTTGGAGACCGGCCTAACCAATATAGTAAAACCTCATCTCTAGTAAAAATACAAAAATTAGCAGGGCCTGGTGGTGTATGCCTGAAGTCCCAGTTATTCGGAAGGTGAGATGGGAGACTCGCTGGAACCTGGGAGGCAAAGGTTGCAGTGAGCTGAGATCATGCCACAGCACTTCAGCCTGGACAGCAGAGCAAGACTCCATCTCAACAAAAAGCAAAAAACAACACTCATTATGTTGGCCAGGAAAGGTGCCTCATGCCTGTAATCCCAGCACTTTGGGAGGCCGGGGAGGGCAGATCACTTGAGATCAGGAGTTCGAGACCAGCCTGGCCAACATGGTGAGACCCTATCTCTACTAAACATACAAAAATTAGCCGAGTGTGGTGCCTATAATCCCAGCTACTCAGGAGGCTAAGGCAGGAGAATCAATTGAACCCATGAGGTGGAGGTTGCAGTGAGCCAAGATCTTGCCACTGTATGCCAGCCTGGGTGACAAAAGGAGACTCCAGCTCAAAAAAAGCAAAACAAAACTCATTATGTAGAGATATATTATAAGGGTTTTTTTTTGTTTGTTTTTTGCCTAACTGCAACTGTCTTGATTGAGTTATATGCTTTTTTAAATTGTTTGTTTGTTTGTTTTTGTTTTTGTTTTTTGAGACAGAGTTTTGCTCTTGTTGCCCAGGCTGGAGTGCAATGGCACAATCTCGGCTAACTGCAACCTCTGCCTCCCAGGTTCAAGCAATTCTCCAGCCTCAGCCTTCTGAGTAGCTGGGATTACAGGCATGCACCATCATGCCCAGCTAATTTTGTATTTTTAGTAGAGACGGGGTTTCTCCATGTTGGTCAAGCTGGTCTCAAACTACCGACCTCAGCTAATCCGCCCGCCTCAGCCCCCCAAAGTGCTGGGATTACAGAAGCGAGCCACGGTGCCCCGCCACAAGGTATTTTATCAAAGTATTGGTTCTAGTGGTAAAAACTGCAAAGTAATAATAACTATTATCCATCTGTATGGGTACAGATAAATAAATTATGGTTACACACAAATTACAAAGCATTAAGCACCTATTCAAATGAATAACTTGGATCTCTATCAGTTTGTCTAGAGATAGACAATGCACCATTTTGTGTTGTTTTGTAGTTTGAGACAGAGTTTTGCTCTTGTTGCCCAGGCTGGAGTGCAATGGCTTGATCTCAGCTCACTGCAACCTCTGCCTCCTGGGTTCAAGCAATCATCCTGCCTCAGCCTCCCGAGTAGCTGGGATTACAGGCGTAGGCTACCATGCCCAGCTAATTTTGTATTTTCAGTAGAAATGAGGTTTCACTATGTTAGCCAGGCTGGTCTTGAACTCCTGACTTTGTGATCTGCCCGCTTCAGCCTACCAAAATGCTGGGATTACAGGTGAGAGCCACCATGCCCGGCCCATACATCCTTTTTGTAAAGGCAGATTAGCAACGCTTAAACGATACATATTGGGGTCCGGGCATGGTGGCTCATGCCTATAATCTCAGCACTTCGGGAGGCCGAGGTGGGCGGATCACCTAAGGTCAGGAGTTCAAGACAAGCCTGGCCAGCATGATGAAACCCCATCTCCACTAAAAAATAGAAAAATTAGCCAGGCTGGTGAGGGGTGCCTGTAATTCCAGCTACTCAGGCTGAGGCAGAAGAATCGCTGGAACCTGGGAGGTGGTGAGCTGAGACCACATCACTGTACTCCGGCCTGGGAGACACAGTAAGACTCCATCTCAAGAAAGAGAGAGAGAGAGACAGAGAGGAAGGAAGGAAGGAGGGAGGGAGGGAGGGAGGGAGGGAGGGAGGAAGGAAGGAAGGAAGGAAGGAAGGAAGGAAGGAAGGAAGGAAGGAAGGATGTTTATTTGGTTCCACTAGTTAAAACAACCTCATACAACTATAGTAATAAAAACACTTCAAAAAAAATGTTTAAAGGCCACCCATGGAAGAGTGATCTAGACATTTCTTGAGAAGAAAGGAGTTTCTGGAGGTTTCTTAGCCACCACGAACCTAGATGGATAAATGAGAATGGAAAGAACCTGATGACTGGGACTAGGCTAGTGACAGACAAGTGAAACTGCCAAAAAAAAGACAACAGCTTTACTTGTAGTTTCCAAAGTCACTGCCACCTCCAACAGGAAATGAGGCTTACTTACAGCAAAGGTGAAATCTATCACATAATAGTAGAATTACATGAGATTTTACAGATTGTTCTACTCCATTGTGAGACAATAGAAGCATCACTCCAGTGTAAACCTGGGTAGCTGCCTAGAGCAGATATTAAAAACATCTACTCTGGAATAATTTAAAAGTCAGGCTCAGAAACACAAGGAAAAATGCTTAATATAACAAATGAAATGGAAAACAAACAAGAAACAAAAACAAAACAGCCCACCACAAAAAAAGCTGATTTAGCCTGGGAATCATGTCTGTAATCCCAGCACTTCGGGAGGCTGAGGCAGGTGGATCACCTGAGGTCAGGAGTTTGAGGCCAGCCTGGCCAACATGGTGAAACTCTAACTATACTAAAAAGCCAAAAAAAAAAAAAAAAAAAAATTAGCTGGACGTGGTGGTGGGCACCTGTAATGCCACTTACTCGGAAAGCTAACACATGAGAATTACTTGAACCTAGGAAGCAGAAGTCACAGTGAGCTGAGATTGTGGCAATGCACTCCAGCCTGGGTGACCGAGGGAGGCTCCCTCTCAAAAACAACAAAGTAAAAAGCTGATTTAAGATTTTATTTCACTAAAGAAACAAAAGAAATAAGCATAGCATCCAAGAATGATTAGAACACTAAATTGTAATTTTGTTACTTTCTTTAAAGGGAACCACTACACGGTTAGCTGAATCCCATTGCTGAAAACCTAGGAACGGCAAGGAACAGATAAATAGGCACCTGCCGCCATCAGATGCTACCACTCAAAACTGGTAAGTTTAAAAAAAGCGGAAGCAAAGAGGTTGGAGAAAAAAACGTTAAAAAACTTAAGACATGTTACAGAATCTTGTATGTCAGGATTAAGATAGAAAATCTAGAGATTAATCACCGCATTATGACCACAAAAACACCAGAAATTTCACATACATACAGTGAGAGGTTGAAAAAACCTAACACAGCAGCTAACTCATTTTCTTTCATTTGAACTGTCAAACAAGGAACCCCTTCAGACCCATTTCCTCTTTCCAAAGAGGAAAGAATCCTACTCTCCAAAGAGAGAAGAATGATCATCAAAAAGAGTCAGCAGTGTCACTGAAGCAACACCAACAGCCAGTTTCACGCTCAGGAGAAAACATTACACCTCTTCCTCGCAAGTTCCATTGCCTTACACGTTCAGAAAAACTTCCCTAGTAATAAACTACAGAAATAATCCCTGAAAGTATAGTCTTGGTCTTTTGGTCACAGCCTCTGCTGGCTTTCCATCTGCTGCACACTTTTCACTAAAGGCAAGATAGTTTCGCTACTTCTGATCCCATTAGGAAATCAATAGGCAAATTGATTGCCAGTAACATGTTTTCAAATGCCATCAATCACTTAACAGCACATTTTAACGTTTAAAGTGAAAATGAAAAATTTTAAAATTGTTTCAATTTAAAAAGTTGAAAACCAAGCGTGCTTAATTAGCATAGTGCTGAATGACAGCCAATCGCAACCTGAATTTTTAAAGTGGGACGTGTTTGCTCCTGTTGTGGTTCCCCCGCCTGTAATCTGGTAATCCCAGCGTTTTGAGTGTCAATGCTGAGGCCCAGGTGGGAGGATCCTTTTTTCTATGAGTTCAAGACTAGCCTAGGCAATATAGCGCAATCCTGCCTTTACCAAGGGGAAAAAAATAAAAAATGAGCTGGGCATGGTGGTACCGCCTGTAGTCCCAGCTACTCGGGAGGCTGAAGCAGGATGATTGCTTGATCCAGGAAAGCTGGCTGAGTTTAACGCTGTAGTGAGCTTTGATCGCCCCACTGCACCTCATCTCCCGGATTCAAGTGATTCTCCTGCCTCAGCCTTTCAAGTAGCTGGGATTACAGGCAGACAGCACTATGCCTGGCTAATTTTTTTTTTTTTTTTTTTTTTTTAGATAGAGACTTGCTCTGTTGCCCAGGCTGGAGTGCAGTGGCACGATCTAGGTTCACTGCAACCTCCACCTCCTGGGTTCAAGCAATTCTCCTTCCTCAGCCTCCTGAGTAGCCTGGATTACAGACGCCCACTACCATGTCCAGCTAATTTTTGTATTTTTAGTAGAGACGGAGTTTCACCATGTTGGTCAGGTTGGTCTCAAACTCCTGACCTCATGATCTGCCAGCCTCAGTCTCCCAAACTGTTAGGATTACAGGCGTAAGTCACTGCACCCGACCTGCCCAGCTAATTTTTGTATTTTTAGTAGAGAAGGGGTTTCCCCATATTGTCCAGGCTGGTCTCAAGCTTCTGGCCTCAAGTGATCCACCTGCCTCAGCCTCCCAAAGTGCTGGGATTATAGGCGTGAGCCACTGCCCCTGGCCAACGGTCCAAGTTTTTGAAGAAGCTGCTGCTGTGCTTCCTGTTCCATATCCTTCTAAGAACATTAATGCTGGATTGTTTATTGTGAGTTGTCAGTCCTCTCCTTTTTTTCCAACCCCAATCTATGATTGCCAGACACATTTCATTTTTTGAAAGTTAACTTCTACTTACCCTTTCTTTTATTTCATTATTATTTTAATTAATTAATTAATTAATTAGAGACAGAGTCTCACTCTGTTGCCCAGGCTGGAGTGCAGTGGCGCAATCTTGGCTCACTGCAATCTCTGCCTCCCAGGTTAAAGCCATTCTCGTGCCTCAGCCACCCAAGTTGCTGGGATTACAGGCGTGCACCTCCACGTTCAGCTAATTTTTGTATTTTAGTAAAAACAGGATTTCTCCAGCCTGATCTTGAACTCCTGGCCTCAAGTAATCCACCTGCCTCGACCTCCCAAAGTGCTGGGATTACAGGCGTAAGCCACTGTGCCTGGCAGAAATTTTGCTTTTTGACATGATTTTAGAATATGAGGCAGATAATGTTCATCGTATACAAACAGGCTGCCCGAGAGAGTCTGTGATTCTACCTTACCCTTGGATATTCCACACTGCCTCGAGGAGTGAGGATGTAGGTCAGAACTGCTACATGCCAGCTCCTTAATCTTGGATTTGCCACCCTCTGGAACTATGAGCCAATGAATTTCTGTTCATTATAAGCTGCCCAGTCTGTGGAATTCTGTTAGAACACAAAATGGACTAACACTCTGTTATCCAAGATGATATCAAGCTCCTGACCTTGTCATCTGCCCACCTCAGCCTCCCAAAGTGTTGGGATTACAGGCGTGAGCCATCATGCCCAGCCTATAACATTATACTCGATTTCTTCATTGTTAAATCAAATGCTTATAAAATTTGTAGGACAGTGGAAAACTTGTGTCTTTTTTTTTCTTTCTTTTTTCGAGAAGGACTTTTGCTCCTGTTACCCAGGCTGGAGTGCAATGGCGCGATCTCGGCTCACTGCAACCTCCGCCTCCTGGGTTCAGGCAATTCTCCTGCCTCAGCCTCCTGAGTAGCCGGGATTACAGGCACGCGCCACCGTGCGCAGCTAATTTTTTGTATCTTTAGTAGAGACGGGGTTTCACCATGTTGACCAGGATGGTCTTGATTTCTTGACCTCATGATCCACCCGCCTCGGCCTCCCAAAGTGCTGGGATTACAGGCATGAGGCACCACACCCGGCCTGAAAACTTGGGTCTTAACTTTTCTCACATTGCCAGAATTTCCCATGAAGCAAGATGAAAGGATTGCATGAAACCATAGTCAATAATAAAAAGTTGAGTGAATCATTTGTAGCCAAATCATTTCAGAATCAAAATCATAAAAATCCTTTCAAATTTTATTTTACAGCAGAGTTCTATTTTCTGCACTACGTGGGTGTGTTTTATATATTTCATAGGAGCTATGGAATTAGCATCTGGTGGTAAGGCTGGAAGGAAGGTTGCACGCTGTCTGCGCCTTTGTGCAACATGGTTGAGTCTCCTCCCTGTCTTTGATGGAGATGGCTAGTAGCTCCCTGACATCTACTCTCTCCTCTATCCTTGAAACAGGGCTCCTACAGCTGGGCATGGTGGCTAATGTCTGTAATCCATGTAGCACTTTGGGAGGCTGAGGCAGGAGGATTGCTTTGAGCCCAGGAGTTTGAGGCCAGCCTGGGCAACAGAGCAAGCCTTCATCTCTACAGAAAATAGAAAAATTAGCCATGCCTGTGGTTCCAGCTACTCTGGAGGCTGAGGTGGGAGGATTGCCTGAGCCCAGGAAGTTGAGACTGCAGTGAGCTGTGATTGTGCCACTCCACTCCAGCCTAGACAACAGAGCAAGACCCTGTCTCAAAAAAAGAAAAAGAAAACAGAACTTCTAGACAGTTGTTCTCAAAGCGTGACCCTTGGACAACAGCAGTAGCCCTGGGAACTTGACAGAAATACAAGCTCTCAGGTTCCACTCCAGCTCTGCTTAGTCAGAAACTGCGGCGTTTGGCCCAGCACTCAATGTTTTAGTAATCTCTCCAGCTGATTATGATGCTCATGTTGAAGAACCACTACCCATACTCTCTGAGGGCAGCCAAATAATTCATTTCCCAGCCTGTCCTGCAGGTAGATGTGGCCACTGAACCAAAATTTAACAAGCGAGATGTAAGTAGATGTGCTGGAACTTCCAGGAAGGTGCCTTAAAGTGAAGAAGCCCTTCAGCAGGGTGCAGTGCCTCACGCCTACAATCCTAGGACTTTTGGAGGCCGAGGTGGGTATACTGCTTGAGCTCAGGAGTTTGAGACCAGCCTGGGCAACATGGTGAAACTCTGTCTCTACCAAAAAATGTGAAAATTAGCTGGGTGTGGTGGTGTGTGCCTGTAGTCTCAGCTACTTGGGAGGCTGAGGTGGGAGGATGGCTTGAGCCTGGGAGATGGAAGTTGCAGTGAGCTGGGATCGCGCCACTGCACTCTAGCCTGGGTGACAGAGCCAGACCCTGTCTCAAAACTAAAAATAGGCCTGGCGTGGTGACTCATGCCTATAATCCCAGCACTTTGGGAGGCTGAGGTGGGCGGATCTTCGGTCAAGGATTGAGACCATCCTGGGCAACATGGTGAAACCCCATCTCTAGTAAAATTATAAAAATTAGCTGGGCATGGTGGCGTGCATCTGGAATCCCAGCTACTCAGGAGGCTGAGGCAGGAGAATTGCTTGAACCCGGGAGATGGAAGTTTCAGTGAGCCAAGATTGTGCCACTGCACTTCAGCCTGGTGACAGAGCGAGATTCCATCTCAAAAATAAATAAATAAATGGTAAAAAAATATGAATAAAAATAAGATAAGCCCTCCTTTGGCCTTGTCCTCCAGTTGCTGGCCTGGAATACAAATATGTATTGACTGGAGCTTAGGCAGCTGTTTTGAATCACAAGGAGGAAGCCTAATCCTGAGGGTTGATGGATTGGAAAACTAGTAAGATCCCAAGTTCCTGAGACTTTGTGGCATTGCCATAAATGAGAAAGCAATAACTTTTTTTTTTTTTTTTTTAAGACAGAGTCTCACTCTGGAGTGCAGTGGTGCGATATTGGCTCACTGTCACCTCCATCTCCCTGGTTCAAGCGATTCTCCCACCTCAGACTCCTGAGTAGCTGGGATTACAGGCACCCGCCACCATACCTGACCAAGTTTTGTATTTTTATTTTTATTTATTCATTTTTTTTTGAGATGGAGTCTCGCTCTGTCACCCAGGCTGGACTAAGGTGGCACAATCTTGGCTCACTGCCACCTCCATCTCCCTGGTTCAAGCGATTCTCCCACCTCAGACTCCTGAGTAGCTGGGATTACAGGCACCTGCCACCATGCCTGACAAATTTTTTTATTTTTATTTTTGGAGACAGTGTTTTACTCTTGTGATGTACCCAGGCTGGAGTGCAGTGACACAATCTCAGCTCACTGCAACTTCCTCCTCCTCCTGGGTTCATGCTATTCTGCCTCTGCCTCCCAAGTAGTTGGGATTACAGGTGCACACCACCATGTCTGGCTAATTTTTTGTATTTTTAGTAGAGATGGGGTTTCATCATGTTGGCCAGACTAGTCTTGAACTCCTGACCTCGTGATCTGCCTGCCTTGGCCTCCCAAAGTACTGAGATTACAGGTGTGGGCCACTGCCCCTGGCCAGTTTTTCGTATATTTAGTAGACAGGGGGTTTCACCATGTTGGCCAGGCTGGTCTTGAACTCCTGAACTCAGGTGATCCACCTCCATCAGCCTCCCAAAGTGTTGGGGTTACAGGCATGAGCCACCGTATCCAGTCTGAATTTTTGTATTTTCAGTAATGACGGGGTTTTGCCATTTGGCTGCGTTGGTCTCGAACTCCTGACCTCAAGTGATCCACCTGCCTTGGCCTTCTAAA